CCCCAAAACCCCAAAACCCCAAAACCCCTCTAAAGACTTTCTTAGTTGAATTCTATGCAAATCAAATAATGCATTAGTAATAAAAATTTATCAAATGACGTCAATTATTTGTTAAAAAAGAAAGCTTCTCTTTTGCAACTTTCCCCCAACCTCCACCTGATTCCCTCCCAAGAGTGCTAAAATATGCTTAAAAAGTTATCCCTTTGCTTTCCCAGCCCATTAAAACACTGACATATCTTCCTTTCTTGCCATGAATACCAAATTTCAATGGTGACGACATCCTTTTGCAAAAATTTAGTCCTTAAAGTAAACCTATTACGTTGCAAGAAATTAATCCGGAAATGGTATGAATCAAGCTTTTAACTCCTCAAGACAGGTGCTAAGTGCAATTGTTTGCATTAATCAAGATTTATAATATTATTTGACTCAGAAAGTAGATTGATAGGCTGGTCATGCTCCTCTTCTGAGTCGATAAGACCACCTCCGTCATTAAATACTTGAACCTCTTTTCCTTCACCTTGTCCAAAAAGGGCCTGCAAGTTTTTACTTTTTCTCTTACAGGATCTTTTTCTCTTAGTCTTACCACTCTTAGGGATGGCTAAGCTTGGGTCAGAGGTGACTATCTCTATCTGCTCATCCTTAGGGCGGATCTTCTCTAAGGGAATCCTGGTTATCCCCCATAAATCAAATGAGTTAAGACTATCTTTGTTTTTCTTCTATAAGTTTTAAGGGAAGTATCTTACAGTTTCGAGCCAGACTAGAAACTTACCCACTTGTTCAGGGTTCAAAATGTTCCTCATTTCATCCATTACCTTCTCAAACCTTCCACTATGCTTGAAAATTTTCTTTTTCATCTCAAGGAGCTCATTGACTATTTCCTTAAATTCTATTCTGGAGTATTGGAGTGCTTTTCTCATTTCCATAATTTGTCTCCTCTGCTCAGCGGTGGTGTTGAGAATGCCAAGAATTTCTTCCCATTCGCTAAAAGGTGAGGTTTGAGAACTTACTCTAGACCTCCTTTCTCCATTAACTCGGTGAGCTGGTACTTGCTGAATTTATTTCAATTTCTCAACTTTTTCTCCAGCATTCTCTTCAGCATTGGCAGCTGCATGTATAAGGTATTTAGCATAGTTCGGCAGCACATTGTCAATAATATTCTTAAAGAATTTATTAAGCATTATTTTCCTTTCCTTGCCAAAAGAGCCATGACGTATATTTAAAGCTTCAATTTGGTTCTCAATATCATCAAAGCTACTCTTGTTCTCAAGCAAATAGAGCAACTTCTCATACTGCATTTGCCTCTCTCCGAGCAATTGCTGCATAGTTTCAACCTGAGAGGTATGGGATAGCTTTGAAAGATTTCTTTGGTTCTCAATAATAATCCTCTGTCTCTTTACTTCTGCTTCTAGATCAGCCACCTATTTATGTTAACTCTGTTAACTCACCTTATCTTCAAGTCATTTCACGAAGTTCTTCTTCCTCAACCTGCTAAGCTGGGCTGATTTACGGTTCCTCTCTCTTCGAGCTTGGGTATTTTCTGTCCATTTTTGCTTATTTCTGCCTACTTTTTATAAGCATCGTCCAAATTCTTACCTTCCTCTTTTACGACTGTTGGCAGTTTTGGGCTTCTTAAACTCTTCGTCGCCCTCGCCGTCGCTGCTTGCCTGCATGCCATTCTGCTCTTTATCGGCATCTTGACTGGTGTCCATCCCTGAGCGGTCCTTCTGTAGCTCCACTTCCATGTTTTCATCTAGAGATATTGAGTGAGAAATTTAGGAATATTGATGAAAAATAGGCCAAACGTACTTATTCTGATAATGTTCTCTTCTTCCGAGTTTGAACGATCCTTGCCTGAAAGGTCCCCAGCTTCGTTTCTTGCATCTGAATAGGAGGTCAGGAATATATTTTTAAATGAATTGATGGCCCTTTGATAAAATTGCGGTATTTTGGATCCTATCTTTTCCTTAAATTACCAAAATTTAAGATAATTTAATTAATCTTCTGAACAAAAAAATTTGATCAAAAAGAAAGATTTTTATCATGAATATCATAATTTGGATGAGAAATTGAGAATTAGAAGTTGGCTTACCCGATTCTGCCTTGATGTCCTTTAAATCTGGCGCTAATTTCAAGCTAGATTTATCATCATCCTCATCAAATTTAGTGACTTGGTGGAGTTTCTTCTCCTTCATTTGGTTATAAACCAGATCTCTAAACCTGTCAAATCTGTTAAAATATCCCGTCGAAAAGGGACTACAAAATACATACACTGCTCCATTGTTGCTGTCATAATCAAACGCTGAGAGAAAATCTATAAGAAATCAACAACTCTCCCATAGAGAACCCATCTACATAACACGAAAACCCACTAAAATATCTCATCCTTGAGCTATTGCTCTTCTAAACTTCAAAAACAAAATTTGTTCTCAGTGAAATACTATTTCTCTTCCAAAATCCTTAAGCTCTATTGCCATAGCCCCTTACTTAGAGAGTACCTAAGTGGTAATATTTGAAGGAGAAGTCCTAACAAATGTATAACCCTTCAGCCTTCTTCGATGAAACAGAGAATAATGTTCACTATATTTAGATAAAACTGAAACCAAATTTGTTGTGGCCTAACCTGCCACTGAGAAAGTAGCCTTGCTCAGGTTTTGATAGGAATATTCGTAGATTTAGTAGTAGGAGTCTGTATATTTCGAATGTAGAGGGGCGATACTACTTCTGCTTGCTAGCAAATCACGAAAGGTATTTCATACAGATGTTGATAAAATGGTCACCAAAGAGTTCATAATTTTTAAGATTTAATATCTCGATAGTTTTAGTATCTGAGCTATTGGAATTCTACTTAAAAAAATCAGTGATTGATTTTACATAAGACTAATGCAAGATTAGGAACTTAAAGAGGATTTTATAGCAGTCCTTATAAGTTTTAGTAGTTCTAATACAATGCTCAGAACTGTTTGACAAACTCATAATTATCCCTTCAAAATTGAGTTAGAGCTTTCTTTTTCATCTCAAAATGGCTAGATTTTGAGTCAGCCAGGTGATTAACTCAATCACCCAGACTCATGCCTAAAACTTACTCAAATTCTGCATATGATGCTTAGGACTTTGATCAGGGTCCATATCACCTTCAGGTATCGAATCCTGGTTCAAAAACGCCGACAACAAGTCCTTGTCCCCATCAATATGATAAAAATCGTTGTTCATCCTTACTCTAAAAATTATTATTTTCTATAAATACCTGTTCTATCGGGGTTTTGGGGTTTTGGGGTTTTGGGGTTTTGGGG